GTATTCAAGCCACTGCCATTAAATCCGGCCTCCTTTCAAGTTAGGGCTTCTCGCTGTATATTCCACTTGAGGAAGCGATCTCAAGGTCCCTCTCACATAACTATTGCTAAGAGAAGCCTCCTCCTGAGGTGCTTCTGGAAAGTTGGCATACGTCTTGAGCCTAAGCCAGGGAATCAGCTCTCATCTCGAGACGATTTGGTTTGCACAGAGCATTCCTCGAGTTGCTGTGCTGAAGTTGGTGTTCCTCTAGACTTGGGAGAGTGTTCTTGGGGCATCTCTGGAGTTGCCTGAAGGAAGTCGAGCCACCGATCGTGTTGAATGGGGAACGGGGAATGGCTCTGCAGTCAATGCAGGGGAATCGGGCCTCATCTCGAGTTGATTTGGGGCACATGGAGCTGCTTTGCGCTGATGGGGTGACCTCAGGGTCCGTCTAGACTGGTGACAGTGTTCTTGGGGACTGTCTTGAGATCCATTAAGCAAGTCGAAGCTCCTGACTTGTTTGAATGGGATCAGGGAATAGCTCTGCATACACTGCAGGGGAATGGGCCTCACCTCGCCTCTAGGTTGAAGTGTCATGGTTTTTCTCGAGTTGCGGCGGGGACCTGGGTTATGTTCTCGACTTAGGGCGGGGATGGCCCTTCAAAACACGAGTTTCTTCAGTGACGTCAGGACTCCTGCATAGTAACGAGGGACAACTCAGGAATCTCTTCGAGGCTTGACAGGGCAAAAGGGACGCTTCTCGAGGTGAGGCAGTGCACCCAAGGACCCTTTCCAGTAGCCACAGGGATTTTGGGATTCCTATCAGTATTCAAGAGGAGTCAGGCATCTTTACCTTTTGAAGCAATGAACTCCGCGTGCCTCTCGAGGTGTCAACGGGATGTGAGGCATTCTGTCAAAATGAGGCAGGGACCTAGAATTTTCTCTGAGGTCTCCACAGGGGATTCAGACATCCCTTCATGTTGTGAGATGAAAGACGAGCCTGTATTCAAGCCACTGCAAGGAAACCCGGCCTGCTTTCAATTTAGGGCTTCTCGCTGTATATTCCCCTTGAGGCAGCAAACTCGGGGTCCCTCCCACATACCTATTGCTGAGAGAATCCTCCTCTTGAGGTGCTTCTGGAAACTTGGCAGACGTCTTGAGACTAAGCCAGGGAATCAGCTCTCATCTCGAGACGATTTGGGGTACACGGAGCATTCCTCGAGTTGCTGTGCTGAAGTTGGTGTTACTCTAGACTTGGGACAGTGTTCTCGGGGCATCTCTGGAGTTGCCTTAAAGAAGTCCAGCCACCGGTCGTGTTGAATGGGGAACGGGGAATGGCTCTGGAGTCAATGCAGGGGAATCAGGCCTCATCTCGAGTTGATTTGGGGCACATGGAGCTGCTTTGCGTTGCTGGGGTGACCTCAGGGTCCGTCTAGACATGTGTCAGTTTTCTTGGGGACTGTCTCGAGATCCATTAAGCAAGTCGAAGCTCCTGACTTGTTTGAATGGGATCACGGAATAGCTCTGCATGCACTGCATGGGAATGGGGCCTCACCTCGAATCTAGGGGGAAGTCTCATGGTTTTTCTCGAGTTCCGGCAGGGACCTGGGGTATGTTCTCGACTTACGGCGGGGATGGCCCTTCAAAACACGAGTTTCTTCCGTGACGTCAGGACTCCTGTGTAGTAACGAGGGACACCTCAGGAATCTCTTCGAGGCTTGGCAGGGCAAAAGGGACACTTCTCGAGGTGAGATAGGGCACCGAAGGACCATTTCCTGTAGCCACAGGGATTTTGGCATTCCTATCAGTATTCAAGAGGAGTCAGGCATCGTCACCTTTTGAAGCAATGAACTCCGCGTGCCTCTCGAGGTGTCAACGGGATGTGAGGCATTCCGTCAAAATGAGGCAGGGACCTAGGGCTTTCTCTAAGGTCTCCACAGGGGATTCAGACATCCCTTCATGTTTTGAAATCAAAGACAAGCCTGTATTCAAGCCACTGACATTAAATCCGGCCTCCTTTCAAGTTAGGGCTTCTCGCTGTATATTCCACTTGAGGCAGCGATCTCGGGGTCCCTACCACATAGCTATTGCTGAGAGAAGCCTCCTCCTGAGGTGCTTCTGGAAAGTTGGCATAGTTCTTGAGCCTAAGCCAGGGAATCAGCTCTCATCTCGAGACGATTTGGGGTACTAGGAGCATTCCTCGAGTTGCTGTGCTGCAGTTGGTGTTCCTCTAGACTTGGGACAGTGTTTTCAGGGCATCTCTGGAGTTACCTGAAGGAAGTCGAGCCACCGGTCGTGTTGAATGGGGAAAGGGGAAAGGCTCTGGAGTCAAGGCAGGGGAATCGGGCCTCATCTCGAGTTGATCTGGGGCACATGGAACTGCTTTGCGTTGCTGGCGTGACCTCAGGGTCCGTCTAGACTGGTGACAGTGTTCTTGGGGACTGTCTCGAGATCCATTAAGCAAGTCGAAGCTCCTGACTTGTTTGAATGGGAACTCGGAATAGCTCCCCATGCACTGCAGGGGAATGGGGCCTCATCTCGCTTCTAGGGGGAAGTCTCATGGTTTTTCTCGAGTTGCGGAGGGGACCAGCGGTATGTTCTCGACTTACGGCGGGGATGGCCCTTCAAAACTCGTGTTTATTCAGTGACGTCAGGACTCCTGTCTAGTAACGAGGGACAACTCAGGAATCTCTTCGTGGCTTGGCAGGGCAAAAGCGACGCTTCTCGAGGTGAGGCAGGGCACCCAAGGACCCTTTCCAGTAGCCACAGGGATTTTGGGATTCCTATCAGTATTCAAGAGGAGGCAGGCATCGTCACCTTTTGAAGCAATGAACTCCGCGTGCCTCTCGAGGTGTCAGCGGGATGTGAGGCATTCCGTCAAAATGAGGCAGGGACCTAGGGCTTTCTCTAAGGTCTCCACAGCGGATTCAGACATCCCTTCATGTTGTGAGATGAAAGACGGGCCTGTATTCAAGCCACTGCAAGGAAATCCGGCCTCCTTTCAAGTTAGGGCTTCTCGCTGTATATTCCCCTTGAGGCAGCAAATTCGGGGTCCCTCCCACATACCTATTGCTGAGAGAAGCCTCCTCCTGAGGTTCTTCTGGAAGTTGGCATACGTCTTGAGCCTAAGCCAAGGAATCAGCTCTCATCTCGAGACGATTTGGGTTGCACAGAGCATTCCTCGAGTTGCTGTGCTGAAGTTGGTGTTCCTCTAGACTTGGGACAGTGTTCTTGGGGCATCTCTGGAGTTGCCTGAAGGAAGTCGAGCCACCGGTCGTGTTGAATGGGGAACGGGGAATGGCTCTGGAGTCAATGCAGGGGAATCGGGCCTCATCTCGAGTTGATTTGGGGCACATGGAGCTGCTTTGCGCTGATGGGGTGACCTCAGGGTCCGTCTAGACTGGTGACAGTGTTCTTGGGGACTGTCTTGAGATCCATTAAGCAAGTCGAAGCTCCTGACTTGTTTGAATGGGATCAGGGAATAGCTCTGCATACACTGCAGTGGAATGGGGCCTCAACGCGCCTCTAGGTTGAAGTGTCATTGTTTTTCTCGAGTTGCGGCGGGGACCTGGGGTATGTTCTCGACTTAGGGCGGGGATGGCCCTTCAAAACACGAGTTTCTTCAGTGACGTCAGGACTCCTGCATAGTAACGAGGGACACCTCAGGAATCTCTTCGAGGCTTGGCAGGGCAAAAGGGACGCTTCTCGAGGTGAGGCAGGGCACCCAAGGACCCTTTCCAGTAGCCACAGGGATTTTGGGATTCCTATCAGTATTCAAGAAGAGTCAGGCATCTTTACCTTTTGAAGCAATGAACTCCGCGTGCCTCTCGAGGTGTCAATGGGATGTGAGGCATTCTGTCAAAATGAGGCAGGGACCTAGAATTTTCTCTGATGTCTCCACAGGGGATTCAGACATCCCTTCATGTTGTGAGATGAAAGACGAGCCTGTATTCAAGCCACTGCAAGGAAACACGGCCTGCTTTCAATTTAGGGCTTCTCGCTGTATATTCCCCTTGAGGCAGCAAACTCGGGGTCCCTCCCACATACATATTGCTGAGAGAATCCTCCTCTTGAGGTGCTTCTGGAAACTTGGCAGACGTCTTGAGACTAATCCAGGGAATCAGCTCTCATCTCGAGACGATTTGGGGTATACGGAGCATTCCTCGAGTTGCTGTGCTGAAGTTGGTGTTCCTCTAGACTTGGGACAGTGTTCTCGGGGCATCTCTGGAGTTGCCTGAAGGAAGTCGAGCCACCGGTCGTGTTGAATGGGGAACGGGGAATGGCTCTGGAGTCAATGCAGGGGAATCGGGCCTCATCTCGAGTTGGTTTGGGGCACATGGAGCTGCTTTGCGTTTCGGGGTGACCTCAGGGTCCGTCTAGACTGGTGACCTTGCGACTCTCTAGAGATCCATTAAGCATGTCGAAGCTCCTGACTTGTTTGAATGGGATCACGGAATAGCTCTGCATGCACTGCAGGGGAATGGGGCCTCATCTCGCCTCTAGGGGGAAGTCTCATGGTTTTTCTCGAGTTTTGGTGGGGACCTGGGGTATGTTCTCGACATACCGCGGGGATGGCCCTTCAAAACACGAGTTTCTTCAGTGACGTCAGGACTCCTGTCTAGTAACGAGGGACACCTCAGGAATCTCTTCGAGGCTTTGCAAGGCAAAAGGGACGCTTCTCGAGGTGAAGCAGGGCACCCAAGGACCCTTTCCAGTAGCCACAGGGATTTTGGGATTCCTATCAGTATTCAAGAGGAGTCAGGCATCGTCACCTTTTGAAGCAGTGAGCTCCGCGTGCCTCTCGAGGTGTCAATGGGATGTGAGGCACTCCGTCAAAATGAGGTAGGGACCTAGGGCTTTCTCTAAGGTCTCCAAAGTGGATTCAGACATCCCTTCATGTTGTTAGATGAAAGACGAGCCTGTATTCAAGCCACTGCAAGGAAACCCGGCCTTCTTTCAATTTAGGGCTTCTCATTGTATATTCCCCTTGAGGCAGCAAACTCGGTGTCCCACACACATACCTATTGCTGAGAGAATCCTCCTCTTGAGGTGCTTCTGGAAAGTTGGCATACGTCTTGAGCCTAAGCCAGGGAATCAGCTCTCATCTCGAGACGATTTGGGGTACACGGAGCATTCCTCGAGTGGCTGTGCTGAAGTTGGTGTTCCTCTAGACTTGGGACAGTGTTCTCGGGGCATCTCTCGAGTTGCCTGAAGGAAGTCGAGCCACCGGTCGTGTTGAATGGGGAACGGGGAATGGCTCTGGAGTCAATGCAGGGGAATGGGGCCTCATCTCGAGTTGGTTTGGGGCACATGGAGCTGCTTTGTGTTGCTGGGGTGACCTCAGGGTCCGTCTAGACTTGTGACAGTGTTCTTGGGGACTGTCTCGAGATCCATTAAGCAAGTCGAAGCTCCTGACTTGTTTGAATGGGATCACGGAATAGCTCTGCATGCACTGCATGGGAATGGGGCCTCACCTCGCCTCTAGGGGGAAGTCTCATGGTTTTTCTCGAGTTGCGGCGGGGACCTGGGGTATGTTCTCGACTTACCGCGGGGATGGCCCTTCAAAACACGAGTTTCTTCAGTGACGTCAGGACTCCTGTCTAGTAACGAGGGACACCTCAGGAATCTCTTCGAGGCTTGGCAGGGCAAAAGGGACGCTTCTCGAGGTGAGGCAGGGCACCCAAGGACCCCTTCCAGTAGCCACAGGGATTTTTGGATTCCTATCAGTATTCAAGAGGAGTCAGGCACCGTCACCTTTTGAAACAATGAACTCCGGGTGCCTCTCGAGGTGTCAATGGGATGAGAGGCATTCCGTCAAAATGAGGCAGGGACCTAGGGCATTCTCTAATGTCTCCACAGGGGATTCAGACATCCCTTCATGTTTTGAGATCAAAGACGAGCCTGTATTCAAGCCACTGCCATTAAATCTGGCCTCCTTTCAAGTTAGGGCTTCTCGCTGTATATTCCACTTGAGGAAGCGATCTCGGGGTCCCTCTCACATAACTATTGCTGAGAGAAGCCTCCTCCTGAGGTGCTTCTGGAAAGTTGGCATACGTCTTGAGCCTAAGCCAGGGAATCAGCTCTCATCTCGAGATGTTTTGGGGTACACGGAGCATTCCTCGAGTTGCTGTGCTGAAGTTGGTGTTCCTCTAGACTTGGGACAGTGTTCTCGGGGCATCTCTGGAGTTGCCTGAAGGAAGTCGAGCCACCGGTCGTGTTGAATGGGGAAAGGGGAATGGCTCTGGAGTCAATGCAGGGGAATCGGGCCTCATCTCGAGTTCATTTGGGGCACATGGAGCTGCTTTGCGTTGCTGGGGTGACCTCATGGTCCGTCTAGACTGGTGACCTTGCGGACTGTCTCGAGATCCATTAAGCAAGTCGAAGCTCCTGACTTGTTTGAATGGGATCATGGAATAGCTCTGCATGCACTGCAGGGGAATGGGGCCTCATCTCGCCTCTAGGGGGAAGTCTCATGGTTTTTCTCGAGTTTTGGCGGGGACCTGGGTTATGTTCTCGACTTACCGCGGGGATGGCCCTTCAAAACACGAGTTTCTTCAGTGACGTCAGGACTCCTGTCTAGTAACGAGGGACACCTCAGGAATCTCTTCGAGGCTTGGCAGGGCAAAAGGGACGCTTCTCGAGGTGAAGCAGGGCACCCAAGGACCCTTTCCAGTAGCCACAGGGATTTTGGGATTCCTATCAGTATTCAAGAGGAGTCAGGCATCGTCACCTTTTGAAGCAGTGAACTCCGCGTGCCTCTCGAGGTGTCAACGGGATGTGAGGCATTCCGTCAAAATGAGGCAGGGACCTAGGGCTTTCTCTAAGGTCTCCACAGGGGATTCAGACATCCCTTCATGTTGTTAGATGAAAGACGAGCCTGAATTCAAGCCACTGCAAGGAAACCCGGCCTGCTTTCAATTTAGGGCTTCTCGCGGTATATTCCCCTTGAGGCAGCAAACTCGCTGTCCCTCCCACATACCTATTGCTGAGAGAATCCTCCTCTTGAGGTGCTTCTGGAGACTTGGCAGACGTCTTGAGACTAAGCCAGGGAATCAGCTCTCATCTCGAGACGATTTGGGGTACACGGAGCATTCCTCGAGTTGCTGTGCTGAAATTGGTGTTACTCTAGACTTGGGACAGTGTTCTCGGGGCATCTCTGGAGTTGCCTTAAAGAAGTCCAGCCACCGGTCGTGTTGAATGGGGAACGGGGAATGGCTCTGGAGTCAATGCAGGGGAATCGGGCCTCATCTCGAGTTCATTTGGGGCACATGGAGCTGCTTTGAGTTGCTGGGGTGACCTCAGGGTCCGTCTAGACTGGTGACAGTGTTCTTGGGGACTGTCTCGAGATCCATTAAGCAAGTCGAAGCTCCTGACTTGTTTGAATGGGATCACGGAATAGCTCTGCATGCACTGCATGGGAATGGGGCCTCACCTCGAATCTAGGGGGAAGTCTCATGGTTTTTCTCGAGTTCCCGCAGGGACCTGGGGTATGTTCTCGACTTACGGCGGGGATGGCCCTTAAAAACTCGTGTTTATTCAGTGATGTCAGGACTCCTGTCTAGTAACGAGGGACACCTCAGGAATCTCTTCGAGGCTTGGCAGGGCAAAAGGGACGCTTCTCGAGGTGAGGCAGGGCACCCAAGGACCCTTTCCAGTAGCCACAGGGATTTTGGGATTCCTATCAGTATTCAAGAAGAGTCAGGCACCGTCACCTTTTGAAGCAATGAACTCCGCGTGCCTCTCGAGGTGTCAGCGGGATGTGAGGCATTCCGTCAAAATGAGGCAGGGACCTAGGGCATTCTCTAAGGTCTCCACAGGGGATTCAGACATCCCTTCATGTTGTGAGATGAAAGACGAGCCTGTATTCAAGCCACTGCAAGGAAACCCGGCCTGCTTTCAAGTTAGGGCTTCTCGCTGTATATTCCCCTTGAGGCAGCAAACTCGGGGTCCCTCCCACATACCTATTGCTGAGAGAATCCACCTCTTGAGGTGCTTCTGGAAAGTTGGCATAAGTCTTGAGCCTAAGCCAGGGAATCAGCTCTCATCTCGAGACGTTTTGGGATACACGGAGCATTCCTCGAGTTGCTGTGCTGAAGTTGGTGTTCCTCTAGACTTGGGACAGTGTTCTCGGGGCATCTCTGGAGTTGCCTGAAAGAAATCGAGCCACTGGTCATGTTGAATGGGGAACGGGAAATGGCTCTGGAGTCAATGCAGGCGAATCGGGCCTCATCTCGAATTGATTTGGGGCACATGGAGCTGCTTTGCGTTGCTGGAGTGACCTCAGGGTCCGTCTAGACTGGTGACCTTGCGGACTGTCTCGAGATCCATTAAGCAAGTCGAAGCTCCTGACTTGTTTGAATGGGATCACAGAATAGCTCTGTATGCACTGCAGGGGAATGGGGCCTCATCTCGCCTCTAGGGGGAAGTCTCATGGTTTTTTTCGAGTTTTGGCGGGGACCTGGGTTATGTTCTCGACTTACGGCGGGGATGGCCCTTCAAAACACGAGTTTCTTCAGTGACGTCAGGACTCCTGTCTAGTAGCGAGGGACAACTCAGGAATCTCTTCGAGGCTTGGCAGGGCAAAAGGGACGCTTCTCGAGGTGAGGCAGGGCACCCAAGGACCCTTTCCAGTAGCCAGAGGGATTTTGGGATTCCTATCAGTATTCAAGGGGAGTCAGGCACCGTCACCTTTTGAAGCAATGAACTCCGCGTGCCTCTCGACGTGTCAGCGGGATGTGAGGCATTCCGTCAAAATGAGGCAGGGAACTAGGGCATTCTCTAAGGTCTCCACAGGGGATTCAGACATCCCTTCATGTTGTGAGATGAAAGACGAGCCTGTATTCAAGCCACTGCAAGGAAATCCTACCTCCTTTCAAGTTAGGGCTTCTCGCTGTATATTCCCCTTGAGGTAGCAAAGTCGGGGTCCCTCCCACATACCTATTGCTGAGAGAAGTCACCTCTTGAGGTGCTTCTGGAAAGTTCGCATACGTCTTGAGCCTAAGCCAGGGAATCAGCTCTCATCTCGAGACGATTTGGGGTACACAGAGCATTCCTCGAGTTATTGTGCTGAAGTTGGTGTTCCTCTAGACTTGGGACAGTGTTCTCGGGGCATCTCTGGATTTGCCTGAAGAAAGTCGAGCCACAGGTCATGTTGAATGGGGAACGGGGAATGGCTCTGGAGTCAATGCAGGCGAAGCGGGCCTCATCTCGAGTTGATTTGGGGCACATGGAGCTGCTTTGCGTTGCTGGAGTTACCTCAGGTTCCGTCTAGACTTGTGACAGTGTTCTAGGGGACTCTCTCGAGAACCATTAAGCAAGTCGAATCTCCTGACTTGTTTGAATGGGATCACGGAATAGCTCTGCATGCACTGCAGGGGAATGGGGCCTCATCTCGCCTCTAGGCGGAAGTCTCATGGTTTTTCTTGAGTTGCGGCGGGGACCTGGGGTATGTTCTCGACTTACGGCGGGGATGGCCCTTCAAAACACGAGTTTCTTCAGTGACGTCAGGACTCCTGTCTAGTAACGAGGGACACCCCAGGAATCTCTTCCAGCCTTAGCAGGGCAAAAGGGACGCTTCTCGAGGTGAGGCAGGGCACCCAAGGACCCTTTCCAGTAGCCACAGGGATTTTGGGATTCCTATCAGTATTCAAGAGGATTCATTCATCGTCACCTTTTGAAACAATGAACTCTGCGTGCCTGTCCAGGTGTCAACGGGATGTGAGGCATTCCGTCATAATGAAGCAGGGACCTAGGGCTTTCTCTAAGGTCTCCACAGGGGATTCAGACATCCCTTCATCTTGTGAGATGAAAGACGAGCCTGTATTCAAGCCACTGCAAGGAAATCCGGCCTCCTTTCAAGTTAGGGCTTCTCGCTCTATATTCCCCTTGAGGCAGCAAACTCGGGGTCCTTCCCACATACCTATTGCTGAGAGAAGCCTCCTGTTGAGGTGCTTCTGGAAATTGGCATAGGTCTTGAGCCTAAGGCAGGGTATCAGCTCTCATCTCGAGACGATTTGGGGTACACGAAGCATTCCTCGGTTTGCTGTGCTGAAGTTGGTGTTCCTCTAGACTTGGGACAGTG